CCCCCTAGCCTGGCCAAGCATCCCCTACCACAATGATCAGACAAATATCTAACTTACTCTGCAATTTTCTGCCTCACCAGCTCAGGAACCATCCTGAACGGAACTTGTACAGCCTGCGCGATAATCCTGGATCTGGTCTGTATGGTGGTGGCTAGGTACCTATCCGGCACGCATAGGTCGTGGGGCTCGCTGATTGTCATGTGGGAGAAGTCTGGCCTGCTCCTAGCCCTCCCATGGCAGTTCCTCAACCTGCACTTAAAGGACAGGCTCCCATCAGCATTGTCTGGCCTTTTGTGGTAGAGGAAACCATCGCCACAACGGCAATTGTAGATGTTGCCCCCTCTTTGACCCTGAAAGAGCTCCACAACATGCTCCATCTTGCCGCATCCACAGCCGAAGGCGTGGCGTACTGTACTGACTGACGTTTGCCTTATTTCCAGTTCAGCCACCGCTCTCGCCGTCGCTCTTGGGCACTAGCGGGGCAGAGGAGGGGGAAGAGAGAGCCAAGGGATCCGCCGCCGAGCCGAGCCGAGCGCACCCTTCGGGGCTGTTCATAAGGCTCCCTCGGCTCTCTCTACCCCCTCCTCTACCCCGCGAGCGCCCGAGAGCAACGAGGAATGGATAGGGAACAACCACAGGAACAACCACAGATCGTCGTATAGCTGGTTCCCCTCAGAGCGGCATTGTTGTTCCGTACCAAGACTTGAGCGACGGCGACAGCGACGGAGAGCGATGGTTCAACTGGATATATTGTATTTGAACTAACGGAGGAAGAAGAATAGCGGGTAGAACATAAACGTTACCGATTAGTCGAGAGCCTCCCGCCTATACGTCACGCCGGTAGTGGGGTTAAGCGCTCAATCAATCAGAAAACCTTCATGTTCTACCCGCTATTCTTCTTCCTCCGTTAGTCGAAATACACTGGGGGGGGGGGGGCAAACGACTGGATCTGTGGTGGGCGCGGCGCATGAATTTGACAGCCGCGGGGGCGACGGGTCACTCCACGTAGAAATTGGGCTCG